AATCCACTGAAACAAACACGGTCCCGTGAATAAACTGTAGAAAAGCGACTAAATATCAATATATAATCGTTGAAGGATACTTAGCTAAACCTCTATAGATGTCTATACGAGGTAACTAACTAAATATATTTCAAAGGATATAGTGTCGGGAGACACAGGCGCTCTCACGTCCAGCTCACTGGGCGAAGAAGGAGAGAGTGAGGCACATGGGTAGAGGTGGCGCCCTCGTTCCCGGGCTGGAAAGGAGGTAACTCGTGGTGAATACTAATTAGTGATTTTAAATTGAAGGGAGCTTCAATTAGGGAGATACAAGTGTTCCACTATGTTCGCAAGAAGAAGAAGACAAGCAAAAAGAGCATGAGTCAGGATAAGGAAAAATTGATCAATACCAAGTACATATATAATCTTATATTGAGCAGCAGGTGCAACCTGCTTTAGTCAACATGGCTAAAGGTCACATGCAACGTAAAACACAACTTTGCAGATTCAAATCGTCAAAAATGCAAATTCAACTTATAAAGTTAAAAAATAAGACGATGAAAAAAATCACGCGAAATCGGAGTTCAAACGTTTCACTAATTTTCCTCCGACTTTTCTGGGGAAAACGGGTTTCAACAGCTGGGCTGCGCTCATAGCACGTGTGCAGTGAAATAGGTTCGCGCGCAGCTTGGAAGCGGGTTGTCGGGTGAATACTCGGTGAAGGCTTTGGTGTGAGCTATTTTTCTAATGTTTTGTTGATATCTCACAGGCGCGAGCTTTTTATATGTTATGACAGTAAATTAACTGTTTATATAATTTCATTTGTCTATTTCACCACACGCTCTTCTTACCGAGTCACTTTCTCAGTTCGATACTTAAAAGCAATGTCATTATTTAGCGCTTGTACAGAATTTCTAACTGTGATATAGATATGTCGTTGTCACAGACAAAACTCAATGTCTTGTTTTATTGACACCTGTGTGTCTGCCTGCCTGTCTGACAATATTCAATACACAGCTGCTATCACTGACCACATGCAATTTGAACTTAACACCAATCAGGCTATACACCATAAACAAAATGCATTGATTTATGGCCCGAAGTTCGGTCTCTGTCACATTATGTAATTACACAGACAGGCAGGTGTGATACTTGAACACATGACATGTTATGATGTCTGTTGATTGCAAAATGTTATACACAAAAAATGAGCATGTATTTACAAAACCCAACATCTCTATATATACACACACAATGAGCCGTGGAAGGCATCTGCAAATGAACCAGCCGTTACACTTGAGTGCACACCCACCCGCTTTACTGGGTTTCGGTATCCCGCACAAGCAATGTATGATTTTGGGAAGTATAACCAAGTGTACATTATATGTCATGAATAATTTTGCACTTTAATTATGTTTGATTTTTGGTTGCATGTGACCTTTATATGCCTAATTTTGCACCTTTATATGAGGTTGTTCATAAATCCCCATGCTGGTTTTGTCCCATTCAAACAAAACAGACAAAAACGGAAAAAATCTCAAAAACATGTTTTTCAGATGTGAGCTATTTCTGTGTAGCAATTGTGTCTGTGAGGGAAGTGTCCACAGAAGATTTTGTATTTTTTACTTAAAATTTCAACATATTATTTTAAAAATTCAAGATGATGATCATGAAATTTCAAATTCTTATGTTGAAATTTCAAGATCATTGTCTTTAAATTTTAACTTTATATGTATCTTGAAATTTCAACTTAGCATCTTAAAATTTCAACTAAGCTACCTGAATTTTCAACTTAGCAACTTGTATCACAGAAATGCTGTATTTTTATGGGGATTTATGGGGTGCACAAGGGAGACACAAATTGACTGGACATTTTAGATTTTTGTGCCTCGTTGCCACAACGATCTGCTCTAGATTCATCACTGACGCAGAGAAGGATGAGGTTCTCTTCACTCAGTAATAAACTTCATGCTCATAGCTTCTGTGACAATATTTGTGCCCACAAGACAGATACCATCAATCATTATCATTGTTTTACTGAAAAATCAATTTCAATTTCCTATTTTGGGCGAAAATTGTAAAACTGCACTAGAGCAGTCTGCACACAAACAAGTTATAAAACACCAGCCTCTGTAACAAGTTTGATTGATAGAGAATTGATTCTGTTAGCTTTTCTAATTTATGTCTCTTTTTCATGGCCAATGCATTCACAGCAGATGCTGTTTTGTATCAATTGTTAAATGAGCAGATTGGCTATTTCGAAGAATTTTATGGCAGCGAGTCTGATTTGTTCAATTGCCGTTGATTTAATCGTCTGTTTTTTCCCGCTAGGATTATGGTTCTCCTATTCTGTGTATATTGACTGATTGACTGATTGGTTTGTCAATAATCTAACTTCATTGATCCCGATAATTATACAACACTTGTCAGGGACACTGGTCTCATTTATTATGCATGTTTGGGGCCAGCTTCTTTTATGTCCGGACCCCAAATGAGAATTATAATTAAACATTTGCACAAGGACATCATTTGATATTTCAAGGCTAAGTATTTATTGATCGTAAAAATAATCCGGCATCTGGGCTCTGGGCTCCAGGTCCGAATTCATGAAGCATTCACTACGACATTTGTATGAAAAATTAAGAGCTATGATATGACTTAATCCCACGAATGCTTTGTGGATATAGGACCTAGTGTCCTGTGTTTGCCTTCCCTAAACTATATTGATCAATGATTTGTTCATGATTATTGCATTTATTATGATCATAGTAATATAAATATTGATAATATATCTTAAGTTCCAGTAGCTTCCTGTTTTGACGTAATATTAATATTGAAACAGGCCAAACATGTTCAAATCCGGGTTAGAATTGGTCTTCAGCAAGCCATGTTTGTCATAAAAGGTGACTAACGGATTGAGTGGTCAGGCTTGCTGACTTGGTTGACTCATCATATCTCAATTGCATATATTTATACTCATGCTGTTGATCACTGGATTGTCTGGTCCAGACTTGATTATTTACAGACCGCCACCATATAGCTGGAATACTGCTGAGAGTAATGTTGAGTGATGTTAGTGGCTGTTTTGGTTGCACAATGTTATGGTTGTTTCAAGTTATTACACACAAGTTTTGTGGTGGACTTTACGATTATTCACCGATTATGAGCTCCGACTATCAAGCTGCATATAGCCGTCACTACTTAAATCACAATGGCTACCCGAACCTACAGTTGTGAAACATGCCATATACTCAGGCCAATTTCATTTTCATTGTCTTGAAGCTATGGTATCTTTGAAATGTTAAAATCACAAATGGTCTTCGCAGAGAGATTTATTGTTGTTGTGGTATCTTCGGAACACATCTGAAATCACCCCACTATATCATTTTCAAACATGCCACATACAAGGATATGTTTCCTGCTCAGTGTAGCTTCTGCTAGGAAAAGCAAGATTAGCTGTGATGTCAGCTGGAAAGCAAGATTGTCGTGATGTCTGTGTAGCGCTAGAAAAGCAAGATTGTTGTATATCTGTGTAGCGCTGGAAAAGCAAGATTGTCGTATGTCTGTGTAGCGCTGGAAAAGCAAGATTGTTGTATATCTGTGTAGCGCTGGAAAAGCAAGATTGTTGTATATCTGTGTAGCGCTGGAAAAGCAAGATTGTCGTGATGTCTGTGTAGCGCTGGAAAAGCAAGATTGTCGATATCTGTGTAGCTGGAAAGCAAGATTGTTGTATATCTGTGTAGCGCTGGAAAAGCAAGATTGTTGTATATCTGTGTAGCGCTGGAAAAGCAAGATTGTCGTATGTCTGTGTAGCGCTGGAAAAGCGAGATTGTTGTATATCTGTGTAGCGCTGGAAAAGCAAGATTGTTGTATATCTGTGTAGCGCTGGAAAAGCAAGATTGTCGTATGTCTGTGTAGCGCTAGAAAAGCAAGATTGTCGTATGTCTGTGTAGCGCTAGAAAAGCAAGATTGTCGTATGTCTGTGCAGCCATTGTGTAGCTGGAAAGCAAAGATGTCATATGTCTGTGTAGCCTCGCCAGAAAAGCAAGATTATGATGTCTGTGTAGCGCTAGAAAAGCAAGATTAACGACATGTCTGTGTAGATGTCGGTAGGCGAAAAGCAAGATTGTCATATGTCTGTGTAGCTCTAGAAAAGCAAGATTGTCGTATGTCTGTGTAGCCCTAGAAAAGCAAGATTGTCGTATGTCAGTGTAGCCCTAGAAAAGCAAGATTGTCGTATGTCTGTGTAGCGCTGGAAAAGCAAGATTGTCGTATGTCAGTGTTAAGGTATAGGAGTTCCGATCACCTTAGAACTAAGATTTGCTTTGTACAATGACACCTGACGGCAGGTTCACAGATCTACCATTGTATCATACCAGGCACCCAATTTACTGCTGGGTGGACAGAGGCAATTTTGAACAAACTCACTTGCTTAAGGTGAGATTAAGGTGAGACCACATCTTTGTGGGGCAGGCTGAAGTTCCAGAAACTCTCAGGAGTCAAGCTTTGGTGTGTTAGGAGATACACTGTAAGGTATCACAAGGTCTAACCCTAAACCTTTTAAAACAGGCCGTGAACCAGGCCTTGTTTCCTTTTTCGAGTGAGTGAGTGAGTTTAGTATTACACCACATTTAGCAATATTCCAGCCATATGAAATGGGCTTCAAACTTTGTATCCACGTGGGGAATCGAACCCGGATCTTCGGCGTGACGAGCAAACACTTTAACCACTAGGCTACTCCAACTCCTTTTGGAAGGGATTTGACTACACCCAACCTACAGTTTTGGAACTCACAATGCACATGAACCATCTCTCCTGCTCATAAGATATTTCAAAGCTGTTCAGTCTTCCGGGTGACAAGTGCTAACTAAACAGGGACACTCCCCACCTTACAATTCTGAAAGACGCAAATGTACAACAAGTCCCTCTCCTGTTCAGGAGGCGTCGTAAAGCTATGGCCTCTTCAAGTGACGAGTGAATCCTTAAAACATGAACTACTGAAAGAAGCCGTGCACACTGACCTTGTCTCCTTCTCGGAGGGGGTTTCACAGCTGCTCGCGATGCTGGAATCCTCGGACTCCAGGGAGTTGAAACTTTTACAGTTACTTTCTCGTAACCGTCGTTCCTCCCACTGCGCCCGCCCCTCGTCTGCAGCACGACGCTTCAGCTCCTCAATACGCTTACGTTCCTGGTCGATTATTATGTTCCCTGCAGAAGAACATGTAAAATGTGAGATTTGAATCTTATTGAAGATGAATATCATTTTCTTTGTGTCTGTACAGCCTACCATATTTTGAGAAATATGTATATTGAGAAACATTACTTTGTACATCATAATATTTATAGATTCATATCTCTACTAACCTATTCTACCAAGGAACATCTATAAAATTTGTCAGTGTTTCTAATTATCCTACACAAACAAAATGTACTTCGTACTGCCTAATAATATTGTCTGTAAATGAAGATTGATTGAGATCCTGAAAGGATGAGGCAAGCTAAGAGCAATTTTGTTTTTGTTGAAATTTGGCAATTATTTACGTAGGAAACCATGTTATGGAACTCACTGAATTGTTCCAGTATCTGACGATGAATATATGTCCTTAAAAAAAATGTTCCTTCTGAAACTTTTGCAAAATTTAAGAGGGGTAACAGAGATGAGAGTTTTCCTTTGGGCAAGATAAACGTTTCAGCGGTTTTGTAATTAATGTCAGTACATAACAGTTCTAATCATATGGGGGATGTTTCTTTTCTTTGTTGTTTAACAGCATTAGTCCACCAATACACAGGTAGTCCATTATCAAGACTTGACCAGACAATCTTTTGACTCATATCATTAAAAAATTAATTCCTTAATTTTACACGTTGATTTCAACAGTTTTGACAGAATGCACTGCATCCTCAGTGAGTGAGTGAGAGAGAGAGAGAGAGAGAGAGAGAGAGAGAGAGAGAGAGAGAGAGAGAGAGAGAGAGAGAGAGAGAGAGAGGAGGGAAGATTTAATGACACTTCAGCATTATTTCAACCATATCATGTCTAAAACTAGTTCTAAATTCATAATAAATACATATAATATATGAAAATCAAATCAAAAAGGATTGTAAATTTACTAGATTATCACAAAAGAGAGAGAGAGAGAGAGAGAGAGAGGGAGAGAGAGAGAGATAGAGAGAGAATAGGAACAATTAGATAGAGGGAGAGGGAGAGAGAGAGAGAGAGAGAGAGAGGGAGGGAGGGAACCAGAGAGAGAGAAAGAGACCGAGAGAAACACAGAGACAGCGCGAGAGAGTTCTTCATTCAACTCAGTGATCAAATAGGCCTTGAAGAGTTACCTCCCTTTACTATGTATAGCATTGATTTGTACACATTGAGAGAACCGAGCCAAGCAATGCCAAACACTATCTGTCAACCATGGAGGTTAGATTTTGCTCGAGTTAACCAGCATTAATCAAGGTGTACCTAAGGCAAAATGTCTAAATTGCAACCATAGTTATAACAATGGCTGCTCTTAGAGGGACAAACAAGCCGTTGCTACAGTTGTTGTTTTACGCCACACTCAGCAGTTTTCCAGCTATTACACGGTGCTCTGTATATAATCAAGATGGACGGACAATCCAGTGATTGACATCATGAGCATCGATCTACGCAACTGGGATACAATGACATGTGTGAACCAAGTCAGTGAGCCTGACAACCCGATCCTGTTATGCGCCTCTTTCAAGCATGGGGTGCTGAAGCCCAGTAGCCATTGCAGTAACAATGATTTGTTGTATTACAGGGGTGGAAATAACTTTAAAATTGCTAGTGTACTCCAGTACAGTGGCACATGTAAAATCACTTGCCCTGATAATTTTTCCGCTATACCGGACGATTTTCTTGGTGATTTTTTAAATAAACAACATTATTAACATTGGAATGTCAACTCGACACCGGTACAGTGTGATATACAAAAGTGCTTGCCCGACAGAAAAAAACACTGGACTCGGACGTCGGGCAATGGGTTATTTCCGACCCTGTATTTCATATATTAAACAGAAAAGGTACAATTGCAGCTTTGTCAAGAAATGAAAAACTTGTAAACTCTCATATCCATGTGGCATTGCAATAAACAACGTATAGAACATCAAACAAGGTGAAATATCATCCTCAACGGTGTTTAGTGACAATATAATATATATGTCAACAATGAAAAGTTAAATTTCCCTGAGGCATATCCTGGGGCGCAAAGACCATCAATAACACTAATTGTATTCATTAAAGGCTTGGTCAAGGTAGAATTGGTCACTGAATGAATAAATGAAACTGATTGGCTTGACCACTGAGGTCACTTGGAGCTTGGCAGTGAGAGTACTGCACCCCAATAGTTCAGTAGAAGGGTCAACTTGGGTCAACTGAAGTATGAGGTACAGTAAATTATGTTTCTAACAAACAGGGTTGGTGCGGTAGCCTAGTGGTTAAAGTTGCAGTAAATTATGTTTCGCAAACAGTGGACCCCATACACCCAGTTTTGATTCCATACATGGGTACCATGTGCTCTCTCTCCATATCCCTCCCTTCCTTAATGAACCAGTGGACATAACTGTCTTAAATCAGTTTACATGAGTTAACATGGGTCAATCAGGGTCATCTTGGCTTATATCTTGATCAAGGGTTAATTTTGATCATCCAGGATTTTCAAATCGAACGTAAAACCCTCTAATGGTGAAAGTATTTTGAGATTAAAAAAACTTCAATCTTTACTTGATTTCTAAACAGCTTACCTTGCTGTTCCAAGAAAAGTGATCTGTTTCTTTCAATATCTTCCAATGTTGCGGACTTCTTCCGTTCGTGATCTACAGGAATGTCACTCCGAGACAGCTTCCTCACTGGACTCTCCAGGTAGTCTCTCCTTCGGAACGAAGTCTCCTAAAGGAAATAAAACCACATAAAACCATGTAAAAAATGAAAATGCTCAAATTCTATATCAGTTTTATGAAAACGGCAGAAGAATATTTTCAAAAAGATAAAACCAAGAAATGTTTAAAATGCACTTGCTTACAATGTGTGCAGAGCACTTTTATACCATTCTGGCACAATATTCACTCACAAAAAGGCTAAAAAACAGCTTTATAAAGTCCTTGTGCATCAAAACAAATATTTATATCAAGATTATTTTGCTTTAATAATGTTTTGAATTTCTCTAATTATCTCCAATTAAGGCCAGACCAATTTTTATCCTTGTTTTACGGATCCGCCAGTTGTATTTTTTCAAGAATAAGAAACAAAATAAAAATAAATTTTCCCTGCTCGAAAAATATATTCCTAATGTTAAGATATATGGGAGCGAGACTTTGACTACGCAAAGTAGTTTATTGGACACTAAAACACTGGTATCTGTTCCCAGAGACTTTACACGGAATTATCTAACAATATTTGTGTTAGAAATCAGTTCTTTGAGCACCTCAGCGAGTGTGAACTTGAAAAACAATGCCTTTGAAAAACTCGTGGGTTTTTGCTTTGACTGGTAATTTTTTTCCCCTCCTGCCTTTAGGTTATCTGAACACAAAAATCTGTAAAACGAGAAATAAAATTGGTCTGACCTAAAATACATGTTCACAATATTGGGAACTACGTGTATTAAGTTAATTAAATTTTGAACTGATAAATGTTTTCTTTCCACAATTATTGAAATAGCTACTATTAAAATAGTTTTCAATAACTGGATATATTTCCTCAATATAGCTACTATGTTTAAATATAAAAAAAATTAAAAAAGAAAGTTTATTTAAAGTTAAAACCTTTAGAATATTGTGCCATGAAATTTTCCACATAGCAGGCTGACGACCAAAACATGCATGAACACTGATAGCCAGAAACTAAAGGACATTCATGCAGGAGAAATGTAAAACAGAATTCTAGTTTTGCATTCTTAACACTGTCCTAATCTACAGAGATCTCACAACAACCAATTTCACATTTGCAGTTCACATAATCCATTGAGGCAGTGAGTAAGCATATCTCACAACTTTTTCAAATTTTCATTTTATTAACCAACATATAGGAGACAAGACGTGTTGATATTTGTTATTTAGCATATTCAGCAATTATTCCAGCTATATGAACCCTGTCAGTAAATAATCAAATAATCAAGTCTGGACCAGACAATCCAGTGACTGATATCATGAGCATCAATCAACACAGTTAGGATACTATGACACGCAATGCACAGAATCTGACCATCTGATCCATTTCATCGCCTTCGACAACAAGAATAGATTGCGAGGGGCTTATTTTTTTTACCCAGAATTCTCACTAGTTTAAAGATCCTTAATCGGAGATTGAAGAAACTTATAGTCCGAAGGTTGACCCATAGGGCCAGGTCACTTGGATCACTAACAAGAAAGACACAAGCTGTCAGAATCTCCTCATGTGACAATTTTCATACTCATGTTTTTGTGTGTTTGTTTGTTGTTTAATGCCACGCTCAGCAATATTATAGCTACATGTCGGCGGTCTGTATATAATCAAGTCTGGACTAGACAATCCAGTGATCAACAGAATGAGCATCGACCTATGCAATAGGGAACCGATGACATGTCAGCCAAGTCAGCGAGCCTGACCACCCGATCCAGTTAGTCGTCTCTTACGACAAGCATGGGTTACTGAAGATCAATTCTAACCCAGATCTTCAGTGAGTGAGTTTAGTTTTACGCCGCACTCAGCAATATTCCAGCTATATGGCGGCGGTCTGTAAATAATCAAGTCTGGACCAGACAATCCAGTGATCAACAGCATGAGCATCAATCTGCGCAATTGGGAACCAATGACATGTGTCAACCAAGCCAGCGAGCCTGACTACCCGATCCCGTTAGTCGCCTCTTACGACAAGCATGGGTTACTGAAGATTCATTCAAACCCGGACCTTCACGGATCCATGGATGTTCAAAGTTTCATGTCCATGCAATACTGTGGAACCGCTCTGATCCTGCTACTCAAGGGGAACCTGTTAAGGTGTATTCTGTAGACTACAGCACTAACGACCTTAATGAACGAAACAAAGAGTACTGAAACAGTGTGGTGTTTGTTGTAAATGAAATGTGCATAGATGAAATGAAGGGTCTCAAAGAACAAATTGAATTATTACCTGAATGGAAAGGGAAAAAAATATTAAAGGAAAAAAAAAAAATATTAAAGAAAAAAAAAATTTTTTTTTTTTTTTTATAACCACCTCTCAACATTTTCAAGTACACACCACTTTTTAAGATTATTTTAAAATAATATAGTTTACAATCCTTCCTTGACATAAAAAAAATCTTTAGAGCATTCATGATTGAAAGCCAGAGGTTACAATCAGGAAATAATGACATTTTATTTTTGAAGCATTACTCAGGACATGACCTTTGCTGAACTTAAAACAATTTTGTCCAAGATATTTGTTATGGATTAAGCTTCTTTATTATTTCCCACACAACAATTCGGGACCAGATCCCTTCATCCAGATCCATAGAAAATATCTAGGACATCTATATACAACTTCTAAATGCTGCTAAAAGACATCAAAACAATTTTGCTTATTTTCCAAACTGGTCCAGGCACTATTAGTCTAAATCTACACTTCCATGAATTCATGGCTTCTGAATGCAAAAATTACATATTTTAAAATGGCAAGATACTGAAAACTGATTGATTATATCTGTTTTCAGGATAAAGATTTTGACTGTATCGAACATGATTTCTTATTTATAAGATCGCAGGATTTTTTATTCATTTAACCTAAATTTGAACACAGAGTGTGCTGAAATATATATTGCCAAAACAATTTTTCAGCTTCTCTTATTTCAGCATCATTTCTCGGTCAGTCTTGTAACCCAACCCAACCCAACTGAAAACACCAAATTACAGAATTAAATATTCTTAGTGTAAACTAGCCAAATGAAATATTTGCAAAAGTAAGTCATCAATCATTAAATATAAAATGGCCTAGTTATTAAGACTTTGAGACCCTTGTCGTGACAACAAACATGGTGGCCAGTGTTTCCATGGTAACATGGTATACCTCCAGTTCTAGATCTGATAAGAAGGCACTAGAGTCTCCTGACTCATCTGGATCAGGCAGCGCCAGCGACTGACACAGTGCCTGAATCTGCTGGTCAACCTCAGTCACTTTAGCTTTCTCCTGAAAATCAAATTCTTTCATTACCATGGTTACGGGATAAAGGCAACATCACATATGAGTTTTAAGTCAGCAGTCACTGGCTGAAAAAGAATCTCATGTGAATTTTGAAAGTTTGGTCAAATTGAAATGAACATTTAAAAAATATATATGAAAAAACATTATAAAATGTTTAAAAAACACTTAGCACAAGCCACTGATTTCACAAAGGACATAAAACAAAGCAAACACTAAACCAAAAATTGAAAACACTGAGAGGACTTCTAACAATCAAAAGAAGAAAAAATATTACCACACAAAAGCAAAAGAATGTTGATGCAGACAAAAAACATGCAAGCCACCACGGGTGCTAATGAGTGCATAAAGATGTCTAACACAATACTTGTAACAGATGAAACACATGAATGAGTGAATATTGTTTTATGCCACAGTCAGCACTGTTCCAGCTACGTCACACAGCCATTGAGTCAGGATCAGCAAAACCAATGGTTGATAGCATAATCAAAGACACAGGTAACCACGACAACCAATCAGGTCTCATCCATCCCTGATAGCTCGAGCTGTATCTGAGTGTGTGGTTTCAGCTTTAACAAGGCCTTGGCAATGTTCTGATGTAGAAGTTGGTGGAGTTGGTGTAGTCATAGCTGACTGACTGAGTTTGGTTTTACGCTTTTAGCAATATTCCAGCAATGTTCCGCATGGCAACAGCAGAAATGGGACACCAGAAATGGGGGATTCACATCTGATGTAGAGCCAATTGCTTTAACCAGTCATAGCAAGAAACCAGGAGCTTATTCTGCCCTGAATCTCTCTGCTGACATGCACACAGTTCGTTTGTTGAGTGAGTTTAGTTTTACGCCGCACTCAGCAATATTCCAGCTATACGGCAGCGGTCTGTAAGTAATCAGGCCTGGATCAGACGATCCAGTGATCAACAGCAGGTGTCTGGAATTCACATTCCAGTGAAAGCATGATGATAAGCTGTCACCAATCCTGTGTCTCTTGAACCAATCCTTCAGTTCTCCTACAACCAGCACTGGTACCAATGAAGAATTGGTCTTCAGCAACTCATGATTGTCATTAGAGGCGACAAATGGGACTGGGTGGTCAGGCTCGCTGACTTGGTTGACACATGTCATCATATCCCTATTGCGTAGATCGATGTTCATGCTGTTGATCACTGGATTATCTGGTCATGACTTGATTATTTACATACCGCCGCCGTACAGCTGGAATATTGCTCAGTGCAGCTTTAAACAACAAACAAACCATTATTGGTACTGAGGCTTATTGTAACAAGAAATCCTCGAGGGATTAATTCTCTGTTTGACCCAGTTTATTAGACAGAAGAAAGTGGATTGTTCATCGTAACAAGTTTGTCCATTGATTGTTAGTTCAAACTTCCCTGTCCTACCTTTCTGAAGAGGTCGACCAGTTGGAGGCGATCCTTCTCCAGACCTTCAAGGTCATTCTTGACAACACTGATCATGTCTTTCTGCTGATGGTCGATTTCTTGGAGTCGTTCCTAAAACCAATTTGTACAGATTGAAACATGACCTTAACATGATTTTGTGGCTTCAAGAACATTGATTTGTAGTTTATAGGACAATGTCATTGTGGCTTATAGGACAATGATATTATAGTACTTATATGATATTTAAACCAACGCAGAGCGTGAGGTTTTAAATGAACAATTTAGAGCTATTATAATTTCGTTATATACCTCGATATTTTTCCAACACAGTAGGTTTATCTCATTCTCATGACAATTTTATGAACAATTTCAGGTGGAGCTCTTTCTTTGACCTCTGCTAATCAATACATTGAAGCTGAGCTCCATTCCAATCTCTTCATTGGTATTTTTAGTGGCAAACCGTCAATGACTAACAAACACCAGATTCAGTAATATCAAATCACGTTTGTTCTGAATGCATCAATCACCAATCATTAACTGATAAGTTGGAAAACATATATCAAATAAGTTTCAAAACCCAAGTCACATTTGAAAATTACCAGAAAACCCTTTCCCCACCAGAATAGTGGCAGTCAACCTCATGGCCTTGACGGCTTTTCTCAAGTCATTGTTTACATTTGGAAAGATACTACAGGAGAGCCACTGACAGTTTGGCATGGGTTAACCTGATTGTATGATATCTAATTACTGGTACTGGTACAAAATTATTGTAACACTGTAGCTTAGAAATTGTAGTTTATAGACAATCATGTGTACTTTGTGCTTAATTCTCTGATATTTTTTCTACCCATGGTAAAATCTTATTTGAAATGAAGGAAGATTACACTGTTTCCTTTGAACACAAAATAAAACAACTGGGCCAGACTTACCTCCCTTGCCTTGTATTTCTTCAGAAGAATGTTCTTGTCCTGTACAACTTGGTCATTCAGGTGCTCCTTCTGTTCCTCGAACCGACTCTCTCTCTGTAGAAAGAAAACGGTGAAAATTAGTGTTCCATTATGTTTATGATTTAATAATTAACATATGTTATATTTGGGATTACACTTTCTTAGTAAAGTATGGATTCTTTTTCTTGTATCAGTTACCCTAATATCACTTTAATAATATAATAATAGAATTTTAAAATTATAACTCATCTGCAAAGTTTGATGGACTAGGAATTTCCAAAGACAGCAAATTAATATAGTATTAGCCTTAATAGTAAAGGTGCATCAGAAATGGGCTCTTAACTGGCATTGAACACTGTTCTGATTCTTCAGGTGAGGTCATCTCACCTCAAACTGCTGGAGCTCCAGGTCAGAACTCACCTCAAACTGCTGGAGCTCCAGGTGAACTCACTCAAACTGCTGGAGCTCCAGGTCAGAACTCACCTCAAACTGCTGGAGCTCCAGGTCAGAACTCACCTCAAACTGCTGGAGCTCCAGGTCAGAACTCACCTCAAACTCCTGGAACTCCAGGTCAGAACTCACCTCAAACTGCTGGAGCTCCAGGTCAGAACTCACATCAAACAGCTGGAACTCCAGATCAGACCTCACCTCAAACTGCTGGAACTCAAGGTCTCCAGGTCAGAACAGAACATCAAACTCCTGGAACTCCAGGTCAGAACTCACCTCAAACTGCTGGAACTCCCAGGTCAGAACTCACCTCAAACTGCTGGAACTCCAGATCAGACCTCACCTCAAACTGTTGGAACTCAAGGTCAGACCTCACCTCAAACTGCTGGAGCTCCAGGTCAGAACTCACCTCAAACTGTTGGAACTCCAGGTCAGAACTCACCTCAAACTGCTGGAACTCCAGGTCAGAACTCACCTCAAACTGCTGGAACTCCAGGTCAGAACTCACCTCAAACTGCTGGAGCTCCAGGTCAGAACTCACCTCAAACTGCTGGAGCTCCAGGTCAGAACTCACCTCAAACTGCTGGAGCTCCAGGTCAGAACTCACCTCAAACTGCTGGAACTCCAGGTCAGAACTCACCTCAAACTGCTGGAGCTCCAGGTCAGAACTCACCTCAAACTGCTGGAGCTCCAGGTCAGAACTCACCTCAAACTGCTCCAGGTCGAACTCCAGGTCAGAACTCACCTCAAATTGCTGGAGCTCCAGGTCAGAACTCACCTCAAACTGCTGGAGCTCCAGGTCAGAACTCACCTCAAACTGCTGGAGCTCCAGGTCGGAACTCACCTAAAACTGCTGGAACTCCAGGTCAGAACTCACCTCAAACTGCTGGAACTCCAGGTCAGAACTCACCTCAAACTGCTGGAACTCCAGGTCAGAACTCACCTCAAACTGCTGGAACTCCAGGTCAGAACTCACCTCAAACTGCTGGAACTCCAGGTCATCGTAGATCCTCCGCTGGTTGTCGAGGACCTCCTGCTCCAGCTGGTACTTCTCCTGCAACGTCTCCTCTTCCTCCGTTGCCTCGCAACCTTCCAGCTGTTGCTCCGTCTCGTAGTGTTTCTCCTCCAACTCGCGCAGCTTGCCTCGCTCCTGCTCCAGGATCTGCAGCTCCTGGAGGCACAGAGTGAGTGAGTGAGTTGAGTTTTATGCCGTTTTTACCAATATTCCAGCAACATCACAGCGGGGACATCATTTGCCTCACACATTGTACTCATGTGGGGAATCAAACATGGGTCTCTGGTGTGAGGAGCAAATGTTTTAACTACTAGGCTATCCACCTTCTACAGTGAGTGAGTGAGTAGTACTTAGAACAGTACAACAAGGAGACATATGTCAGCTGGAGAAAATCCCAAACTGAAACCATCCTTACAACTCAGTTGAAACCTATTATCAGGGCATTGTGGAGACAGATGAGGTTAGGTGAAATTGGGTTTATCGTCGCAGGGACCAACAAGTACCATATTTCAACGTCTTTTGGTATGACGTGGCTGGGGATTGAACCTGCGACCTTCTGCTCTCCAGGCCGACGCTCTAACCCCTACACCAAATAATCATATCATATCATCATAAGAGTGACAATTCATGTCATCGCCTCACTTTAAGTCATCAAATCAACAATAAATTGCCCCTTATAACCAGAGTGAGTGAGTGAGTTTAGTTTTACGCCGCTTTTAGCAATATTCCAGCTATATCATGGCGGGGAACACCAGAAATGGGCTTCACATATTGTACCCATCTGGGGAATTGAACCCAGGTCTTCGGCGTGATGAACGAACGCTTTAACCACTACGTTACCCCACTGCCCCACTTATAACCAGAATAGGTTGTCAGGAACCAAGATCCTAACAGGTCAACAATTCTAGGATCCTGGCACACCAAAGGGACGTAAGTCTGCTTAGTAAATAGCATCCCAATGACAGCCCCTCGGTTCACCCACATCTCACAGTCATGTTCATCATTCGACCATGATATAATGATCATGATCATACCAGTCCTAATTGGTACAAACACCTCGCCTATCTTGTCACACACATGCACATATACAATACTATGCAATTATATGATTCATATATGCTAATAGAGACTATGCTATACACACACAGCAAGGACTAAATTGTGTTCATTATATATTCTCATCTACATCTTGAAATATAACACACCCCTAACAACTGTCCCAAGAGATAGTCAAAACTGCCATATGAGATGATCAGATAATAGAAGTCATTCCCCCTACAACTAACCACTTGAAATGAGTACTAAACAAAATGCATCCCTAACAACTTACTGACTGAAATGAATAGATTTCCTAACAACTAGTCTCTTGAAATGAATAGATAATATATTACATTCCTCACAACTAACATCAGATAAATATAAACTTGTATTTACTACCACCTCATGAGAGTAGATAACAGAATAGATTCCCCTAAAAACTATATTCTAACTATAATACATTCCTAACAACTTATTGATTCAAATGAATAGAAAGATGCACACCAACTACCAGCTTGAGATAAGTAGATAATATAAAAATGATTCTAGAAACTAACAGTTGAGATGAATAGATACTATAATACTTTCTTAACAATCACCATGAGATAAGTAGATATTATAATACATTCCTAACCACTGCCACTTGAGAGGAGTAGATAACACTTTCCTAACAACTAATCCTGTAGATGAGGTTTAGATTTGGTTTGTTGTGTAACGCCGCACTCAAAAATATTCCAGATATATAGCGGTGGTCTGAAGATGAGGAAATCTATTATATATTATCATTACAACAACTGGAGGCGTAAAGAAATAGGTTGTATATTCCTAACATGTGGAAAGATGAAGCAGATTATTATATATTCCTAACAACTTACAGTGGAGATAACAAACTAATGTTATCATCAAAGCAAAACACCACTGGTGATGAGAAAAGATTATTATGTATTCCTAACAACTACCACCACAGTTGAGAAAAGAAAATATATTCCTAACAACTACCTCTAGAGATAAGAAAAGAATATTTCAAGGCATAAACATCACCCTAGACTAACACTTCTAGATCACACACACTTATTTCATGCATAAATACCAGCACAACCAACAGATGTTTGTAAAACAGCCTCATTAGATGTAATCACTTCTCTGGAAAATAGTTTCTGTTTATTTTAGACAAAGCTTGAGTCAGACACCACACCCAGATTTAACAATGCGGGCCACTTAACATGCATTTCTTCTGGCACTTGATTTTACTACACATAAACATCAGACACTGGGGTCGGGAGGGGTCGGTGGTATGTTGGGAGGGAGGTAACACCCTGTTCTCTTCAATTAAACTAATTTAATTTTTTTAAATTTTATCATGACTGCCATCTCATTATTCTTAACAAATTGACGCCTACACAAAAATATGTGTCATATATTATATCAGTATTCAACTGTAGATTTTGTTTCCCCCCGAAATGATCAGCATCAGAGCGGCCGTCAACTTACTCAGAGAGATCTAAGATGAAATGGTTCTTATCTTTCTTGACCATACTACTTTCCGAGTTATATTCATTCACGCCCATATTGCAGCTTTGTGACGCTATCCTGAGTTCGAACACAAACCATGGGCACTGAGAAATATGGGAAGCCGTACAACTTGGAACTTGTGATGCAAGCGTCACATTTCTTAAGCAAGGTCTGCCATATGTATTATAATTATTATTGTTATTATCATCATCTGTATTTATATTACAAAGACTTTATTCAGTATGACTACAATGATCCCTGATAGCTGTATCATGAGTGAGTGAGTGAGTTTAGTTCTACTCCACACTCAGCAATATTCCAGCTATATGACAGCAGTCTGTAAATAATCGCGTCTGGACTAGACAATCCAGTGATCAACATCATGAGCATCAATCTACACAACTAGGATACGATGACATGTGTCAACCAACTCAGCAAACCTGACCACCCGATCCTATTAGTCGTCTCTCGTCAAGCATGGGTTACTGAATATCAATTCTAACCCGGATCTTCACAGGACACAGTACCACGAATCGATCAAAAACAACAACATCAAAACACAGGGAAAGAAACCTTTCAAAATTTCCCACTAGACCACGGGACCAGTGAGTGGACAATAATTAGTGGTTCTGTCTATACTTCACTGGTCCAAAATAACATTCATAGATTTACTTAATTATCTATACAAAATTCACTGGCCACCTGGACCATTGCAAACTTATCATTTAGTGGTCCTGATGAATTTTACTAGCTACGCACCACAGGACCAGCATAAATTTTGCACACTGAAAACGTATTTATACACTTTTGGCTTGGAGGATTTGCTTATTTTGTTGTTTTCAACTCTTACAATATACATTTGTGCACCTTTAAATATTACAATCAGAGCGCCATCTGTTGTCCTATGCATGCACTACATATCTGACATATTCCACACACGATTTTACAGGATTTATCATAAACAGTTCAAGTTCATAAAGAAATATCTTTACAACAGAGAAAAAGAACTATATTCTTTCAATCATGCTTTTATCTAAATACATTAATTTGAAAGTTTGATTTTGCAAGATGCTGATTCACAAAAACTTCACACACTTACATGCACATCTTAATATTTTTTTTCTTGTCACTTTTAAAGAAATCAGTTTAAATTTGAGTGGTTGTTTACAAAAATCATAATGAAATATAAATTATTATTATCACATGCATGTATTTTAATATGAATCTTTTAATTTAGATTTCAATCCTCTTTTGTCAGGAAAATTGTATCTATGAGCAATTTCTCGAATTCAGAAAGGGGAGATAACTCATGCATACTTCATGCTGGGATCAAACCATCAGCATAACCTACCCTCTTTTTTAGCTGAAACAAATAATTAATAAAAATAATAATAATTAACATCATTAATGAGTGAGGTGTTGTGATATCAAGCAAATGGCGATGGTGTCTTACATTGCCTCCTTTGTTATCTGTGTAGAATTAAAAGACAAATATTTAAGTCGTGTTTATATTTGTTTGTTTTCTACACTGCAATTTCCCAGCTGTATGACAGCTGTCTGTAGATAATCATGTCATGAGCATCGTTCTACACAATTGGGATATGACGATATGAAAGTTCCGAAAAAGGGAAAAAGTAAAAAAAAAATCCAAAAGTAAAAGAAATGTAAAAGAGAATAAATGAATTAAATAAATCAAATGAATGAATGAATGGACTGGCAAAATAGGATTCAAGCCACAAATGTTTTACATAATATGAAATGTAGCTATGCCAAATATTATGGTTGCAAGGATCCATAAATTTCACAGTTTCTTCAAAGCAGATTTAACAAAATATTCCTATCTTTAATTGGAAACTCTCAACATTAAATGTCTATGTGTTTTATATTATAAAACATGATTTCCCCAAACTGACAGAAATGTGTCATGAACTGGTGCAATAGCTGCTGCAAGTATGGTGATGTCAGTGTCATGACAACATGTGCAGAAAACAGCGGAAGTCATGTAGCCATGATGAAATACGCAACTCCACATGCATTCACCAGTCACCAAAAAATTTGCTCCCATCTTTTGAGAGATGATGTTTTCCTGGACAAACATTTCAACCAAACCATAATTTTATCAGGGCTCGACTTAAGAGATGTTAACCTGCTTGCACAAGGTGCAACCTAAGATTAAAACCTAGCTGCACCTGTCAAATTCCAGTTGCATTGTTTTTATTGCAATATGTAATTTTAGAAATATGTTATTGAATTATTTAGATGTTTTATTCAGAAGTTTACCCACTCAAAAATTGACTTTTGCAGGTGTTGCACTTTGTAATATTGGGTTGCACCAGTGCAAGTAACAAAGCACTAAATCGAGCCCTGTTTATGCAGTTTAAATTTTTCGTCTTAAGGACATGGAAACTAATCAGACTTAAGGATGACATGACTTGTAGAGTGAATGGAACTCTGTTTGTGACAAAACATTGTGATTTTAGGTGCGTGCAGAGATGCCAACCCTATTTGGGGCCTAAGTGTAATACTGGGTGTCAAAAAGTGTAATTTGGACCTAAAATGTGTAATGCTTAAACACTTACTTAGTGAAAGGTGATAACTATAAAAAATTACTTTTAAAAAGGTTTATTCACATGAATAGGAAAGATTCTAGACAGAAATACACGTGACCAATCATGAAGAAAAAAAAATTGTTGGCCATGTGACACAAAATATTTTAATTGGAATGAGCGCGATGCTAAGAGTAAGACCATTTCTGAACCCCTGTGCCGGTGCGTTCCAAAACTCTTCTGTGAATTTTTATCCGCTTTATTGTAAAACGAGTAGAAAATCATAATTTTCGCAGATTAAGTGTAATGGCGTAATTTAAAGGTTGAAATCGTAAAAATTACGCCCAAAGCGTAAGGATTGGCATCGCAGTGTGTGTATAAAGCAAATTTATGAAAACCATGCCCTGTTGATGCACAATGCACTGACTGATACACTCCATCATTTATTGAAGTACCGGTAATGTATGACAATGACGAGTTGATCCATCAGGCCACGGATCAAGGCAATAGACAGCCTACAGGTTGTCACAAGACTGTATATAGGTTGAATATTTAAGTGTAAAGGATTCATTTGTTTTGTTGTTTAACGTAATATTCCAGCAATACATGATGGTGGATTGTAAATAATCAAGTCTGGGCAAGACAATCCAGTGATCAGCATCATGAGCATCGATCTATGCATTTTGGCAATGACATGCTTCAACCAAGTCAACGAGCCTGACCACCCGACCTGTTAGTCGCCTCTTACGACAAATTGGGTTACTGAAGATCAATTCTAACATGGATCTGCATGAGTCCAAATGTCAAGTTCAAGGTAACTCAACCAACCTTCTCTCGCTGCAGGTTGGCTTGCTGGATGAGGTCGGCTTGCTGTCGCTTGAGATTCGTTGATCTTCTCCTGGTCACGCTGGAGCTGTTCCATCTCCATCTGGTGTTCCCCGTCCAGCAGCGCTCGCTCCATCTCCAGCTGAAATACGGGACACAGACAGGTGAGACATGAGGTGGGGAGAGATCGGGTGGGGAAAGATGGGGTAAGGTGGGGTGAGATCAGCAGAGGTGGGGTGGGGAGAGATTTTGAGAGATGAAGTGAGATGAAGTGAGGTGGGGAGACATGGGGTGAGTAAAGGAGACGGCAAAGGGAAGTGATGTGCTCAATTTGCATATGTGTCCCGAAACATGGGCACAGACAGGTGAGAGGAGAGGAGAGGTGAGGTAGGGAGGGGAGAGATCAGGAGAGATGGGGTGACTTTAGTGAGTTTAATTTTCCGCCACACTCAGCAATATTCCAGCTATATGGCAGAGAGATGGGGTGAGTAAAGGGACAGCAAAGGGAAGAAGATGTGCTCAATTTACATTTGTGTCTCGAAACATGGGACACAGACAGGTGAGAGGAGAGGAGAGGTGGGGAGAGATGGGATAACAAGATGGGGAGAGGTGGGAGAGGGGAGAGGAGGGAGAAGAGAGAGGAAATAGAAATCTGCTCGATTTCAAGCTGGAGACAAAGAGCGGTGAGGTGGGGCAAGGTAAGACAAGGTGAGGTGAATGATGGAGAGAGAGGTGAGGTGAGTTGAGAGTGATTTGAGGGAACAGAAAGAGCTCAGAAAATGTGTGCTTGATGTGTTTTTCATAACAACCATCCTATCCATATCCTATCCTTCTACCAATCATGAAGTAGCTCATGGGACTGGCATCTCCCACGGCAACCATTGCTGGCAAGACTTACCTCCCTTATTGCTTCATTCTCCTGCGTCTCAATGTCCACAATCTGATGCTTGAGGAGAGAGATCTTCTGAAGCAGTTCAGTTTTGGTTTTCTTGAGTTTGCCAAGTTGACCTTGAACTTCTGCTCCCTAAAATGGCACCACAGGTTGTCAAAAATATATCCAGGATCTGAATTTGTTGCACAAAGGCAAGATCTGGGTATCAACTTTTACCTTTTCTGATATGAGAAAAACAAAGTTATCACTTCAGGTGATTACGGTTCCCTTAGATTCTGCTGTTATTTGTCTGACAACCTCTTCACATAAATCCCTGTAGACTTCTTTCTGCCAAATCTTAGTACAAATGGAATCCTTATCTCTCCCCCTAACCATCCTTCCTCCCCTCGTCATAACTCCTCCCTCTCATCATAACTCCTCCCTCTCATTGTTACTCCTCCCCTCTCATCGTAACTCCTCCCTCTCATAACTCCTCCCTCTCTCATCGTAACCTCCTCCCTCTCATAACTCCTCCCTCTCATCGTAACTCCTCCCTCTCATTGTAACTCCTCCCTCTCATTGTAACTCCTCCCCTCTCATTGTAACTCCTCCCTCTCATCATCGTAACTCCTCCCTCTCATCTCCTCCCTCTCCTCCCTCTCCCTCTCATCGTAACTCCTCCCTCTCATTGTAACTCCTCCCTCTCATCCCTCCCTCTCATTGTAACTCCTCCCTCTCATTGTAACTCATCCCTCTCATCCCTGTCATTCCTCCCTCTCATCATGTAACTCCTCCCTCTCATTGTAACTCCTCCCTCTCATCAGTAACTCCTCCCTCTCATCGTAACTCCTCCCTCTCCCTCCCTCTCAACTCCTCCTCTCATCGTGAACTCCTCATAACTCCTCCCTCTCATTGTAACTCCTCCCTCTCATCATAACTCCTCCCTCTCATCATAACTCTCTAACTCCTAACTCCTCCCTCCTCCCTCTCTCTCATCGTAACTCCTCCCTCTCATCGTAACTCCTCCCTCTCATTGTAACTCCTCCCTCTCATCGTAACTCTTCCCTCTCATCAGTAACTCCTCCCTCTCATTGTAACTCCTCCCTCATTGTAACTCCTCCCTCTCATTGTAACTCCTCCCTCTCATTGTAACTCCTCCCTCTCATTGTAACTCCTCCCTCTCATTGTAACTCCTCCTCTCTCCCTCCCTCTCATTGTAACTCCTCCCTCTCATTGTAACTCCTCCCTCTCATTGTAACTCCTCCCTCTCATTGTAACTCCTCATTCTCTTCCTCCCTCTCTCATTGTAACTCCTCCCTCTCATTGTAACTCTTCCCCTCTCATTGTAACTCCTCCCCTCTCATCAAAACTCTTCCCGCTCATCATAACTCCTCCCTCTCATCATAACTCCTCCCTCTCATCATAACTCCTTGGCTCTCATCACAACAGCCTACCCTATTGTCATAAATCCTCCCCTCTCCTCATAACTCCCCGCCTCTCCTCACAACACCCCCTCTAGTCATAACTCCTCCCCTCTAGTCATAATTTTCTCCCTCACATTAAGTCATCCCTCTTTCATCAAAACTCCTCCTCTCTAATACCAACTCCTCCCATTTAAACCTCCTCTTTATCTTTAACTCCTCCTCTCCCACTTGCACTTCACCTCATTTCATCTCCACCCAGACTAAACCACTTTGGTCATATAGCTGGCAGTGCCCTGGGACACACTCACCTCCTCCTGGGCGGTGGATTCACTAAACATGGAGGTCTGCATGCTGGGCAATGAGAAGCTATTGGACTCATTGGAGTTCGACTTGGCTCAGTGTCACTGTTCACTGGGGTAGGTGTGTCCTCCTTCTGGGAAGTCTCCCCGACTGAGCTCATGGACTCGGGGGACATATCTTTCACTGTTCGACTAGAGGAGGTCGAGGAGTGAGACTCCTTCTCTGAGTTCACAACATCGTCGTTCTCATAAATATGTTCATCCATATGGTCCGAGAACTGGGCGTCGATGCGCACAGTGAACTGTCCCATGCTTGGAGAGTCGGGGTTGGACTCGAAGGAAGAATTGAGGATCTGCTGGATGGAATCTTGAGCTGATGCCGGTAGCCGTAACGCTGATTCATCAACTTGGAAACTGGATGAAGCTTGGTTCTTTGGTGATTCTTCCAACTGTGAGAGTGGAGACTTGTTCCCTTCTGGTGTAGGTCTACGTTTAATGGTGCCAGTTTCTTCTGAGCTGCCACACACTTCCTCTTCCGAGTTGGAAGAGTTTGACTCACATTTACGCATTTGGAAACTAAAGAGACCGTCCTTGTGAGTGTTGCTGGGGAGGACAACATCAGAGATCCATTGGTTTTGATTTTGGTCATTGAACTTTTCCCATCAACACGATCTTTCCTATCATGCGTGTTGGCGTCGGAACTGACTTCCAGGAACCCTGGCGGCAAGGGCTTCCGCTGGGCTGATATTTTGGTCTCTGGGGATTTTGGTTTAGAGGGTGACTGAGGGTCAATGGTTTGTTTTTCTTTCTCAATCTGTAGTTCATATTCCTCACACATTTTCAGAATGTCTTCCAAGCGCTGACGTTCCTGCTTTTCTAATGCCTGTTCCTTTTTCCGTTCCTCAACCTGTTCTTGGTGGCGGATTCTTAAATCCTTTTGACTAGCTGACAGTTCACAGATATCAAAATCTATGCCATCGAACGTATCCCGATGGCCACTGAGGTTAATATCATTCTTTTTATGAACTCTGCCATTTACAAGTGGAGGCATCTCCCTTGCCCCATTTTCCTCAACAGGAGGAGTGAAAACATGGGTTTGATTTTGTATTGGAGAAGTGATGACACCTGGCGAATGGGGAGACTGGCAAATTCCTGATGAGGATGAGGCTCGTAGTGACCTTGAACTTCCTGAAGAGTCTGAGCTCCAACTGAGTGTGCTGACGCTAGTCAATGAACTAGAACTTTTGGTGCTGCAAGTACTCGGGACTCTCTCAGAGCTTCCACCATGAAGAACACTCGCAGAAACACGCGTTGTGGCAGTGTCACGTGTAAATATCTTTTCACCAACGTGAGGATGAGCTCCAGACCCGCTGTCACTTCCCGAAAACTCGTCCGACAAGCGAGGCCCGGGGCTCTTAGCAGAGGAGGTGGAGGATTTCCGTGAGATCATCTCGAACTTGGACACTTTTTGAAGGAAGTCGTCATTGTCTGTGCTGTCCCGAAAACTCCCGGTAGGTGATTTGAGGACTGGGAGGCGACCGTCACCTGAGCCCCTTGAGGACCGAGACTCGGCCTCTTCTATCATATCCTTATATTCCTTGCTGTTCTCAAGATCTGAAACAAAAACAAGGGAGGTAATTATCAAGCTTGACAAGAATTTGATGATCTCTGAAATACAATGAAGCTCTTGCGTTGTGAAAACATATTTTATCTATATATATTCACTATGTGCCCTGACGAAGCCTTCTCCTGAAGAAGGAGCAAGAATTAGCCCTGAAATGTCGTGTAAAGAATAAAAAGAACTCTCTATCCATAAAAAATGTGTCATGTATTCTCAAATACAATGGTTGTAAGAAAGGCTAATGCTGTGGGCCTTCATGTACAAAGAGTTATAGTAAAAGAAACATGCTACTGTGAGTAATTGAGGTGTGATACTCAGGATTGAGTAACACTAGAGTGAAACAAGTGTCATGCTGTTGATCACTGGATTGTCTGGTCGCCACCATTAGGCCAGACCAATTTTACTTTTTGTTTTATGGATCCGCCTGTCGTATTTTTTCAAGAATAAGAAAAAAATTTAAATAAAAAAATCCCCGCCCAAAAAATAAAATCATAATGTTTTATTGGCCAAAAATGTAAACTTACAAGAATTTTTTTTTTAAGATTGTTTTTTGCCGCATATACACTTCATAAATTGCCAAAAGTAAAATACTTTGAATATTTAGAAGGAATATAACTTTGACCGATGATTTTATTTGTATTTTTGTTCCCTCTTGCCATTAGGTTTTCTGAGGACAAAAATCCATAAAACAAGAAATAAAATTGGTCTGGCCTTAGCTGGAATATTGCTGAGTGAGGCGTAAAACTAACTCACTCACTCATTTGTTTATCGTTTCAATTTCCTACTGGCACCAGCCACTGTAAGTGACTTCATTACTATTTTGGGCAGTAACAACTGCTCAGGTGCTTTACATTTAAAACTTTTCGCATATTTTCACATTTTCACTCAAAATTTATTTGACAGAAATCTGAAACTACTGAATATTTATGAATATGATATGAATTACAAGCTCCCAACAGGGTACTTCCTGACAGAATGTCATGTTGATCTACAGGCAAATATCAAGCAATGTGAAGAGTACACACTGAAGGTAATGTCGTTTCACAAATGGATTTTAAATTAATTCTGTAATAGTTCACTTATAATAAAACTTGTTAGCTTATGACAGAAATGCACTAGTAGACACCTCAACAACAGCATGTCAGTCTAACCCAGGTCCCAGCCGAGGGACGTAGTGCAGTTATTGAGCAAAGGTTCATGCTGCTGAACCAGAATGCTATAACTTATGCACAAGATTTTTTAATACCAAAATGTCACAAACTGCTTAGTCAATCAAATATGGCCTCAAATATTTACACAAGCAATGTTCTCTATCCCTGCAGCACAGGACGAGGTTGTGATGGCCGAGAGCTGTGGTTGGGACGGAGACTACTCCATCAAAATGACCGCCATGTAAACTGCCCGGTTTCTGACAGAGATCCGTCATGGCGCCCACCCACTCTGCTTACACAGATGTGACGTGAGTTAACTTGTCGGTTGATTACCAAGAGGCAAAGAAGTGAGAAATAGAACCCAGTTATCTCATGGCACTAACCACTCACCTATCACATAAACATTTGTGAATAGAACCCATATTGTGGTGTCTCATCATACTGGGAGGGTTGAGTACAAACTTGGAATAGAACCCAGACTTTTAGAGTGGTGTCTCATGGCACTAACCACTCAGCTATCACATAATCCTTGAACTTTAGTGAATAGAACCCAGACGTTTTAGAGTGGTGTCTCATGGCACTAACCACTCACCTATCACATAATCCTTGAACTTTAGAGAATAGAACCAGACCTTTTTGAGTGGTGTCTCATGGCACTAACCACTCACCTATCACATAATCCTTGAACCCAGACCTTTTAGGTGGTGTCTCATGGCAACCACTCAGACCTTTTTTGAGTGGTGTCTCATGGCACTAACCACTCACCTATCACATAATCCTTGAACATTAGGGAATAGAACCCAGACCTTTTAGAGTGGTGTCACATGGCACTAACCACTCACCTATCACATAATCCTTGAACATTAGGGAATAGAACCCAGACCTTTTTGAGTGGTGTCTCATGGCACTAACCACTCACCTATCACATAATCTTTGAACATTAGGGAATAGAACCCAGACCTTTTTGAGTGGTGTCACATGGCACTAACCACTCACCTATTACATAATCCCTAAACTGTGGGAAATAGAACCCAGATCATGTGAGTGATGCATCACAGCACTAACCACTCAGCTATCACATAATCCTTGACCTGTCAGGAACAGAACCCAGACCTTGTGAGTGATGTACCACAGCACTACCAACTCACCTAGCCTATCACACTTGAAAATAAAATGACAAAAACTAATTGCCAGGAATTGATCCTAAAATTTCCTCATTTTATCAAACAATATAGCAGCAAAATATTTAAAACTTTAAAATGTTGTTGACCATGATGAAGAAGTTACTATTTACTTCCTCTCACTTAGAATCAGGTGTTCTGACACCTGTGGAAATGGCTCGTTAGTCGCCATGACCTGTATACATCTGAGGTGAGGTGAAATTGGGTTTAACGTCGTACTTGAGAATATTTCACTCATATGACGACGTGCATGCGTGTGTATGTGTATGTGCGGCTGCTTGTACTAGCCCAGACTGAAGCTGGTTTTATAGTGCTAGCCCAATGAGATACCATGCCGCAGTGAAGCATGAATACCCCACTCAGACACATTATACTGACTCCGAGCCGACCAGTCCTTGTTGTACCCATTAATGCCGAACGCCAGGCAGGGACCAACAAGTACCATATTTTAACGTCTTTTGGTATGACGCGGTCGGGGATCGAACCCGCAACCTTCCGCTCTCGGGCTGGACGCTCTAACCACTACACCACGGAGGCCGTCTGTATACATCTGAAGGGGGCCTCACCCGGTCACTGTCAGCTTTGACAATGTTCTGTCAGGGCCCTACTGTGTTTATATTCAGCCCCAAACCAGTCAACAATCACTGATCTATCACGGCCAAGGATTGAAGTATACATGATTAGGGCCAGGCTTCCCATCTCTTCCTGCCCCAAATAGGTGTTAACTATGTGATGACAAACTGATGACAGAAATTAGATATATATCCATACCTGAGATCCAACTATCAATAATGGGGCCCTGGATAAGCATGTATATATCAATTCTGGTCATGCTTCCTAACAGGGATGGTGGTGTTAGCACTTGCATGAAAATTGCTTGTATAAATATCACATAATTCTAATAGTTCTTGTGGATTAGATTTAATTTGAAGATTCTCTAGCCATTATTAAGGATGCTATTTATAGACAAAAAACTAAAGCAAAACATACAAGGACAATTTTGTCAAAATCTGAATTAAGAACATCATAATTTCATGGTCTGTCATGATCTTGAACAAGAGATGTGTGCGTGTGTTTATTGCAACAGTTGCACTCAGTATTCCAGCTATATGACAGCGGCCTGCAGACAAACCAATATGGAAAGGCCAATCCAGTGATCGATATTCTGAGCAACCATCACGTCATCAAGATATGAGGTCAAGGTCATTTACTCCGACCACCAAAGTCATTAAGTCACCTCCTACGAGAAGCATAGTGCACAGAGGCTCCTTATGTGACTGTGGTGAGCGTGTAAAAGATTTAGTCTAAAAAGACAGCTGAAACTTTGAAAAAGAATCACCACAGAGCAAGGCAAGGGATCACTGTCCACCTTTAAATACTCAGGAAGTCGACTCAGCTAGTGTTGGGAATTGGCTCAATTCTCATAATTGATGATTGGTTCATTACAACCGATCAATCATCGAAAATATTTGGTTAGCATCATTTATCAGTTTTTTGTTATGTTTGTTAATTTACACAAAAATAAAGAAAAAACATGTGTTTTGGGGGTTTGTTTTCTGTTATTTGCACAAAATCTATTTGCAAATGTCACATCTTTAGAGGATGACTGGTATGTTAGGAACATAAATGTCCTGGAGTCTTCAAGATAAATTCAATCATGACTTGGAACGAGCTTGTAGTGCTTATGAAATGTAAATTTAATGACACAGACAAAACCAACCTTGTGAAAAATATTGTTAATGCAAACAAGTGTTACAAAATTGTTTTTGTTAGATTATGAGAAAACATGATCAATTGCTTGGTCGTTTAGTCACTGCGACCAATCTTGATTATTTAAACTAATCGGACAACCACTAGACACAGGGACCAGCCCCCGATTTCTCGAAATAAACTTAAGTTTTTACTCAAATTTCAAACTGAGTTTGACAATTTGAAACAGCTGAATGTTTTACTCAACTACATTTTTAAAATAAAAAAGCCCAAACAAGTTAAGTAATCCATCCACCAAACTCAAATTGTCTACTATGTTTGAGTTTAATATAGATTTCAGTTAAGTCAAAACTTTGTTTGTTTCGAGAAATCGGGGCCAGGACCTCCGGTGAGGCCCAATACTGGGAGTGTTTTGGCCTTGTCAGTCCCCAAATCACATGGTCAGAGACTTGACACATCAATGCAATTCAAAGCAAGATAAAACCTGCTCTTTAAAGAACTCGTGTTTCACCAATACCGGGCCACTATTTAACAGTCACGTCTGGTTTGGTCCAAATGGACACCTGCGTCATCTCATGTTTACGTTGTTCAGGTGAAAGTGTGTCAGTCACCTTGATAACTCGTTAACTCACCTGCCCCTTCTGACACACATTAGTGGGGGACACATTCAGTGTTTGATAGTATTTTTTCATGACCAATGTACATGGCTATGTTGAAATGAATACACACAGCGGATTAGTATCTTTTTCCTTATTTGGCAAGTAAGTATTGGTCTCTATGGAGAGATAAAAATACAAATTGAGATTCTGTTAAATGTATGGGACATAGAAGTAAGCATGTCTGGTGGTAGAGCTCAGGTCACAAATCAGAGAGTCCTTCGATTGGTGACCGTGTTTGGCAGCTTGACTGCACATGTGATACATGTGATACATGTGGCCTCGCCTTAGGCAA